CAGAACTTTCTTCTTCTTTTCAAACTTCTTTCTGGGTTTGTCCTTATGAAGTTTGGGACATTCATTTTTGTAATGACCTGGCTCCTTGCACTCATAGCATACGACTTCTTTCTTGCCAGATTTCTTGTGTCCAGAAGATTCTCCATGTTGATCAGATCTCTTGAAGTTTATGAACTTCTTTTGTTTATGCTTCTAGAGTTGATTAATCCTTCTAGACAACAAAGACAATTCATCTTCTTCTGAGGAGGATTCCTCAGAGCTTTCTTCAATTACCTGCAAAGCTTTAGCAGATTTGTTAGATTTTAACGCAACAGACTTACCTTTCTTCTGAGGCTCGTCTTCTTCCAGCTCAAACTCGTGACTTCTTAAGGACTGATAGATTCCTCCAAAGTGATCTTATTCATATCTTTTGACAGCTTCAGCGCTGTAACCATTGGTCTCCACCTTGATGGTAAGCTTCTGATTATTTTCTTGACATGGTCAGAAGTGGAGTAACCTTTATCCAGAACCTTCAAACCAGCAGTCAGGATCTGGAATCTTGAGAATATAGTTTCCACAGATTCAGACTCCTCCATTTTGAAAGCTTCGTACTTCTGGATAAGCGCCAAGGCCTTTGCTCCTTTAATTGAGAGTTTCCTTCGTGCGTCATCTTTAATGACTCAAACATGTCAAATGTTGTTTCTCTATTTGTAATTTTCTCATACTCAGTATGAGATATAGCATTTAACAGGATGGTTCTAGCTTTATGATAATTTCTGAAATCCTTTTTTTGTTGGTCAGTCATTGACTTTCTGTCAACCTTTTTGCCCTCATCGTCAGTGGGGTGAATGTAACCATCAGTGGCCAAATCCCATAGATCAACATCATAGCCTAGAAAGAAACTTTCTATTCTATCTTTCCAATAGTCAAACTTCTCTCCATCAAACATGGGAGGTTTGGTGCTGACTCTATCTCTATCATCATATTTGTTGTTGTATGAAATTGAAGTTTCAGCCATGATAAATCAAGAATAATAACTCAAGAGTTTTTCCCAACTGGATCTTTCTCTTTCACTGTTAAGTGATAGCACTACAGAGTCGGAGCTCTGATACCAACTGAAGGTAGGAAAAACACTTAGAAGGGGGGGGGGGTTGAATAAGGGTATCAAATAACAACTATGACAATAGTAAAAATAACAAGGTATTTTTATTCTGGTCCGTTTAAACTCAAACTACTCCAGTCCATCCTACCAAGGTGATTTGTCTTTCTCAAGAAGGACTTAATCCATTAAATCAAACTGATTACAGTGTTAACCACTAAGACAAATAGTCTTAGTCTTCTCAAGAAATCTGACCACAACTTGGTCTCTTAAGGAATCTTTTACAAACAAGTAAAATACAATGTGTGTTTAAGAGTTGCTTCTAAAAAGCTATATCACAACTGTGATTTTACACAAATGAAGAACGAATTAAATCTTAGAATGAAGTTGAGAGATGTTTTGATATTGTTCTTAGATTGTTCAATGATTCATCAACTTAGAAATGATGTAGAAGTCTGTTTAAATAGACCTTCACTTTCATTTCTTAAAGAGCGTGCAGTTGTGCATTCTGTCTTCTTTGACTTATCTTTCCCAGAAAAGGAATGTTCAGACAAATCCTTTTTGTATGAATTCTTGTGTCATGCGCGAATGAGGAAAGAGCCGTTTGGATAAGGACAAGGAATATGCCAACGAATCTTTATTTCAACAACATCTTCTCAACAAATCTGGAACAGTCTTGCATTAGATCTTCTGATGATGTTCCTTGTTCTTCAGATCAGAATTACTTTATGCAGAGTATTTGCAGCCATGTACTTTAGCGTGAATGATCTTTATCAGAGCAGACTTGAATATCAGAGCTTCTGTACTTGCAGCGTTAAATACTTCCAGAGTCTTCTGATTCTTTACGTATGCTCTTATGCTCAAAGTCTTCTGCACCTTCGCTTAGAATCTTCTGCAGTTTCGCTCAAAGTCTTCTGCAGCTTCACTCAGAGTCTCTTAAGGAAGCGTTCAAAGTCTTCTGATTCTTAACTTTCAAAGGAGTTTTTGCTTCTAGAGGAATATTAATTTTAATATCTGAAACAAAAAACTTGAATACGATTAGAGTATATATTTACTTCATACAAAATTTCATTAATGTTATCATCAAAACATAGAGATATATTAAGAACCAATATGTGTTCTAACAAAGAGGATACTAAGGTATCTCAAAGGAACACTCGACTATGGTATTTTGTTTACTTCATTTGATGAAGGAAAAAGATGCAAGCTTGTTGGCTGCACTGACTCTAGTTGGTGTTGTGATGTTGTAGATAGAAAATCAACATCAGGATTTGTGTTCATGTTAGGTGGTGCATCAGTCACATGGAGTTTGAGAAAGGAACTAGTGGTAGCTTTATCATCATATGAGGCTGAATACTTAAAAGCTTCGCAATGTACACGCCAAGCAGCATGGATGATGAATTTAGTCAAAGAAATTATAAGGAAGAATCATGGAGCAATGACCATGAAGATCGATAACATGTCTGCTATCAACTTGACAAAGAATTTGATAGCACACAGAAGAAGCAAACACATTGAAATGAGGTTCCATTATCTGAGAGGGAAGATAGAAAATGGAAAGTTGATCCTAGAGCATTGCAGATCAGAGAAACAAAATGCAGATAAAATGACAAGGGGTGTGTAGGTCAAAATTTTCAAGAGATTAAGAACAATATTGAATGTAGATAGCTTAGACATAATGAATTAGGTGATGTGTTAAATATGTAATTTTTTTTATCGAAATCGAAATAATATGTTTGTGTTCGACGGGTGTCGAGAGGTGTTTGTGTTGAACAGAGTTTTATTTGGCATAAAGTTAAATATAGTTTTTCGAAGCATGTAGTCAAAACATGCAGTTGTCGAAGGAGCCGACAGATTTGAAATAACTTGACTTAGCTTAGTTTTAGTTGAGTTAGTTATTTTTATGATTACTTGGAGTGAAAATAATCCCATCTATAAATAGAGAGGAATTCTATTTTATTTGTATCAAGTGTAAGAAAACATGTGTAGTTTCTAAAATCACAGTTGTGATTAATACTCATTATTAAACACTTTGAGTGCAATTTGCACAACAATTTTACATTCTTCTTCTTACTCCAAAATTTCTCTTTTCTCTTACTTTCAATTGCTTTGTTTTCTTCTTTAATTCTCTGTGTAGTGTAGAATCATCTTGCAATTAAATAGTGGTTGTTTCACCTGAGTAATGGGTGAAGAACAAGAGGCGTGATCAATTAGAAAAATTGATCATTGTTCATCAAGATTGATTCAATTAACTTCAAAATTGAAGTTTTCCAAATGCATACAACAGTTGTACGTATGTTCTTTATAATTGTTATTAATAACTAATTAATTAGTTCATTATTATTCACACATCACATGTACTTCTATCAATAAATTACTAACAATAAGTTTTCTCATGCAACAAATCTATTTCACTCACCCTAGCTTTCCTTACGACACTTGTAGTTAGGTTCTTCATAATTATTATTAATTAGTAAAAGCTATAGCAAATTTTTATGTGAGCAATGCATTATTGCAAATCAGACAAAAATTTGTTTTTGCCATGAATCAAAAATCTTCTAAACTATTTTATCATATGCAAATTGATACACGGGGATTGATGATAAGTGGATCTGATTGAAACGAAATGGTGCGTCAGTTTTACACAAGATAATATACAAGAGAAATATCTAAGTGAAACAAATAAGAGAACACTTACACAACAAAAGATTGCTTTACGATAACGAATGTGAACACAACAAGAAGCAGACAAACGTGATCATAAGGAGAGACTAGGAGAGAGACATTTCTAATTATCTTGCAAGCAATAAAAGAAGAGTTTTTTTATTAAAAAAATTGGGGAACTTGGGCCTTTTGGGTTTATTTTTTCAAAAAAAAAATTAGAAAAATTTATAGACTCAAAAATTCGCTATAGACTCGTGAGTTTATACGAGTTTGTGTGAGTCTACTCGAGTCAATAAAAAAAAATTTATGTGAGAGTCTACTCGTTTTTGCTTTTTAGACTCGTTTTACGAGTTTATCCATAAGTTTGACAACCACGACAGTCGATTTATTTGTCATTATTTAAGATTTTAAAAATACACATAATACCTTTTTTTCTAGTTGGTTTCGCCCCAATACACAAGTTTTTTGGGTAGTGTATGTGTTGTGTTCGCTTTTACTTCTTCCCTTTATGTCGTTGAAGTTATATTATGCTCAGAATGTTTACTACTTTTTGACGTGGATTCATTGAGTCAAATTTGCACCCTAGTGTTTTGTAATATATTTAATTTATTTGTGATTTTTTTTAAAAAAATATTACAAGCTATATTGTTAACTTATAATATATAATATATTATAGTTTCATTAAATATTAATTTATTGTATTTTTATAATATAAGTATTAATAGAAAGATATATAATTTTAATTTAAATATTTAATTATTGATTTAAATTATATCATATTATTTAAATAGAATTAAATAATATTTTTTTAAAGAGTAAATGTGAGTTACTTTAATTTGAGATGTTATGATTTTTTTTATCTAAAATTGATTTAAACCACTTATATAAAATTTATTAAGGTGTGTGTTACTCACGGCACCTCAATTCAACTCCCATCCACCACAATTTCACAACTCACAATTTCAAGCTTTGAAAGTGATGCCTATTTAAACTCCACCCACTGTGGTGCCAAACAGACACCAAACTTCATATTCCAAAACTTACCAAATTATCATATTCACACAAAAATATGTCCCTTTATTTCACAACCAGCCAAACTTTCCACTTGCATTACCTCTTCACCTCATAGTCACAAAAATTAGAAGAAAAAAACATAAACAACCAAAAAACGTTTCACTCTCTGCCTAACCTTATCACCTCCCTTATGTCATTTCTAAGGCCATGAAAAAACAAACCATTTTCAGTGTCACAGGACACCATGAAGAAGAAACAACATCAACATAACCAAGATTTAGAATTGTTGAAAGCAGTTGCACAAGCTTGGTACAATCACTCCGGAAGTGTTAAACCTTTGAGCGAATTCGACGCGCGCCGAAGAAATTTCAAAGGTAGGCCTTCAAGGTTTAAGCTAGAAACATTAACAAATTCTTCATCAACAAAGGACACAGGCACTTCAACTTATTGTTGTGATTTTCAACACTCACTTTGGGATCCTTATGAGCTTGTAACGGTTTCGAGAAGGATTGAAACAGGGTTGGCCTTAGATAATCCATTTGATGATTTTTGTGTTTCTACATCGGTTCAATTGAAAGGTAAGAGGGAGAGTAAGAATAGTCTTAGAAATCTGTTTAATAATATGTCTTCTAGGAGATTTAATGTCCCTAAATTTTCTACTGAAAAATGATTATGCATGATTTTCTTCTTCTTTTACCTCATAATGCTAACTATACAATGTTTTGTTTATACTAGGCTATTGTGTTTTGTTGTATATACGATAGACTATCTTCCTCTTTGCTTCTTTTTTAATAGCCATATTATAAGTTTTATTGACTACCGGGGTAATATAGACACATGAATTAATTACCACATTTCTTGCTAGTCCATCTGTTAAGAGATTCAACACCAACATTTTACAAAAATATTAAAATCTAACTGCAGAATAAATCAACCAAAATAAATTCTTTCAACTAGGGTTGAAAAGGAGTCAAGTCGAGTCGAACTTACCTTAACTTGATTTAACTCGTTAAGAATTAGTTCACCTCAAATCTCGGTTCGAATTTACTAGAATTGAAGAAGATGAACATGGAGGTTCATCCTTGTGTAACAAAATTCTGTTACAGATGCAGAAGAGTAAGAGAGAAAAGGGAAGAAAGAGTGAAAAGAAGTTATGTTATTGATGTTCAATGTACACAAGAGAGTACTATATATACATACTTAGTCTACAAGTGTAAAGTGACTAATCTCTTTATTTGTTATCTCTAATACCCCCCCTCAAACTCATGGTGAGGTTTTTGAGGTTTTTCAAACTTGCAACCTTGAGTTTGTGCCGTAAGTGCTGAAATGCTCCAATCCCAAGCGGTTTTGTAAGCGTGTCAGCTAGTTGAACGGATGCAGGGACATGATGGACATGTAGTTGTTCAGCTACAACACGTTCACGCACAAAATGAATATCAAGCTAAATGTGTTTGGTGCGGGCATGAAGAACGGGATTATGAGAAAGCAGAACTGCACTCAAGTTATCACACATCAGGATAGGAGTATGCTATGTGACTTTGAGTTCAGACAATGATGACTCCAGCCACAGTAATTCAGAAGTGGTGTGAGCGAGAGCACGATATTCTGCCTCCGTGCTGGAACGAGCAACCAACGCTTGCTTCTTAGAGCTCCATGAAACAAGAATGGGACCAAAGAAAATGCATGAACCAGAGGTGGACCTTCTGTCGTCGGGGTCGCTGGCCCAGTCAGAATCGCTATAGGCATGCAGTGGTAATCTGGAAGTGGAAGCCGACGGTGAGAGATGTAATCCATATGAGACAGTTCCACTTAAATACCCGAGGATTCGTCTCACTGCAGACCAATGTGTGTCTAGTGGACCAGACATGAACTGGAAGGCTTTATTCACACTGTAGGCAATGTCTGGCCTAGTTAAAGTCACATATTGCAGTGCACCCACAATGGACCTATAGAACGAGGGATCTGTTAATTTGGAAGCTCCATGTCTACTGAGCTTGCAGTTTTTCATCATGGGAGTTGGAAACTGTTGCGGTGAGAATCGTGATACCAAGCTATTGAATTAACTTGAATCTTTAATTCTTAGAATTCACAACCGGACTTTAATTTATCCAAAGGAAAGGTCTAAAGAGAGAAAGAACCTTTGTCGCGATGTAACAACAACGCTAAGAGATTCGGGGATCGAGGGTTGGTTATGCATAGGGTAGGTAATTCACATCCTAAACATATGTAGTACTCTACAGGAACCTTTTGTTTGTTGTATGCTAAGTTTGCTAAGTGTTTTCTATGGATTGGGGTAAAAGGTGTAGGTTAAGACCTAAGGATAGTTTCTAAATTTGCTCGCAAAGACATCGCGTCTTCTGCCTACATATCCTAACTAGGATAGAATCAGAGCAATCATAGTTTACCTCACTAGGTTTGAAGAACACTTGATTACGATCAAGGTTCCAAGGGGAACAAACATTACAATGCTTGTGTAGAGTTTAAGGAAACTCTCTAAATCTAAGTTGAAAACTTAAGAAGGGGAAGTAAGTAATCATGACAATGATTCTTACATAGAGTTAACAAACTTTATCCTAAGTTCTAATTGAAAGAGCACTCCTAACAAGGGGTAGGCTTCTTAGACTCAAGCGAAGTCCAATGGATAGGTTCTACTTAACTAAGTGTATGAATGACTTAACAAAGTCGAGGAAGGGAGATGAGCTATCTATGACCCAATGGTCAACAGAGAGACTTTCCTTTGGAAGGAGAGAATGGGAGGCAACTTGGATAAGTATGAAGATAAAACTTAGAAGTAAAAACTCAAGTATTTTTATCCTGGTTCGTTGAACTCAACTACTCCAGTCCACCCTATCTAGAGTGATTTGCCTTTCTCAAACAAGGACTTAATCCACTATTTAATCAACTGATTACAATAGTAAGCACTAAGAACAACTGTTCAAAGTCTTCTCAAGAAATACTGATCCCAACTGGATCTTCTTAAGGAACTATTACAATGAAATATAAGATTAATACAAGTGTTTGAATGCTTCTAACAAGCTTTATCACAACAATGATTTTTCACTTAATGTTAAGAACAAAAGAATAAACTCAGCAATACGAATATTTTATGAGAGCTTGTAAGAGTTTCTATCACATATTCGTTGGTTCTTGATCACCTTGAAGAAGATGAGGAAGACTTGCTTTTATATGCACAATAGTCCACAAAGTCTTGACGTTGGAGGCTGTGTACTGAAAAGGCCTGAACCTTTTTGTCTTTACATCACATGACCTTTCCTGGAAGTAGAATGCACAGAGAAATGCTTTTGGTCTGTGTTCTAGTGTCAAGCATGAAAGAGGAAAAAGTCGTTGAGGCAAATCAAAAGATATTACTTTGAATTCTTCTTCAACAAGTATTTCTTTTCAGCAAAGTTAACCATCAGATTTTGCATGATCAAAGTCTTGGATGCCCATCAGATTTTGCTGAATCAGAGTAATGCAGCAAGTGTGCTTTAGCGTGTAGTTCTATCAGAGCAGAGTTTTATGAATCAGATCCTCAGTACATACAGCGTGTAGTACTCTCAGAGTCTTCTGAAAAACTGTGCTTCTTAACTCTTATACAAAGTTCTTCAATGCTTCAGAGTCTTTAGATCTATTAGAGTCTTCTGCTTCAGATCCTTCTACAGCTTCTACTTCAGATTCTTCTGTAGCTTCTGCTTCAGATCCTTCTGCAGACAACGCTCAGATTCTTCTATAAGATGATTCTGACTCTTCAGAGCCTTCCATAGTTCCATGTTCAGATTAATTTTCTCTTGGATGTATATATACTTTAATCATCTGCAACAAATATTCATGAACCAATTTTAGAGTATATAATTCTTTAATACAAAATTTCATAAGAGTTATCATCAAAACATAGAGATATTACTAAGAAACAATCTGTGTTCTTACAATCTCCCCCTTTTTGATGATGACAAAACATGAGAAATTTTGTTCAATAAAAAAACAATAATTATAACTCCCCCTGAGATTAAGAATCTCCCCCTGAAATGAATACTCTAAGGAAAAGAATACTTCCCTTTTTGCTTGAGTGTATTTCAGAATCAGAGTCTGATGACTTCTTTCAAACATAGAGTCTGGTTAATCAGAGTCTGATGATTTCTTTCAAACACAGAGTCTGGTTTTGCGTTTAGACTCAAAGTACAATTTGCTTCAAGAATCAGAGTCTGGTTGGGTAATTCTCAGGATAACTTCAATGAATTTATTTTTTCAGATGAAACAATAGAATCTGAAAGACTTAAATTCAAAGATAGTTAATAATATGTCTGAATTTTGTTTTAGTATTTGCTTATGGATTGAACAATCAAATTCTTTTTCTCCCCCTTTTTGTCATAATCAAAAAGATGTGTAAAGACAGAAAAGATAACAGAAGAAAAACAGAACAAACATTATCATTCAATCAGATGATTCACATAACAGATGATAAACACATAAGTAAAATAAGACATATGCAAACAACAGTGCACAAAAAAAAGAAAAGAAACTAAGGTTGGCGAGATGCAATCAGGGTCAGAAGATCTGTGATCTTTGTAGTAGACTCTTCTTGCTTGGCCATCCAAGTCTTAATCTCTTCAGTGGTTTGTTCTTGTTTGATCATCCAGGACTTGATTTCCTTAACCTCTTTCACAAGTTCTGAATTGTCAGCCTTCACTTCAGATGCAGACGCATCAATGTCCATATCAGATGCAACATCTTCAGATGGAGAGTCTTCAGCAGGAGCAGCTTCTAGAAGCAGCACTGGTGGTTTGGGAATGCTCATCAGAGTCTGTCTTACCAACTTAGCAAACTTTGCCTTAGCATCTTCAGCATAGACTGTCTTGAGATGAGAGGCCACCACGTTGAACTTAGAGAAAATTTATCCCAAGCAGCTTCAGACTTAACAGGATCTATACTGAACAAACACTCTTCTTCCACACGTGCAATCCCCATACGAACTTCCTTTTTGAAATTTTCAAACAGTTTATCAACATCTGATCTAGGGTTGGGGTAAAGAAATTCCTCAAGAGTCACTTTCTCAGCAGATTCAGAGTTTGGCTGAGGTTGTTCACAAGTGGTGTTAAGAGGTGTTGGATCAGATGGTGGTTGTTCAGATGGTTGAGATGCAGATGGTTGAGGTTCAGATGGTTGTGGTATTGTGAGTTGAGGTGTAGGGGTTGGAGAAATGTCGGCTTCAGATGATGAAGGTTGAAAGTCTGAGAGGTTGAATTTTGAACGAAGTGAAAGTCTATGATTTATTTGGTCAGGTGCTGATAGATTAGAAAATGCATGTTTGAATGGATCAGGAATGTGTAAACAAGAGGGTGAGTGAACTTCTGATTCAGAATCAGATGATTCAGTGGAGTGGCATGAGGTGGATGACAAGACAACCATGGTTGCAAGTGGTTCCAAATCAAGAATGTCATTTGAGGGTTCTGGAACAGGTAACAATTGTTCTATTATTGAGGGATGTTCAGATGGAGTTGGTTGGAGAGGTTCAGATGAAATAGGTTGAGATTGATGTTCTGGAAGTTGTTGTTGTTGTTCTGGTTGTAGTTGTTGTTGTTGTTGTTGTTGTTGAGGTTGTAGTTGTTGTTTTTGTTGAGGTTCTGGCTGAGGTGGTTCTTGTTGTTGATGTTCTAGTTGTGTTTCTGTTTG